GTGTGTGTGTGTGTGTGTGTGTGTGTGTGTGTGTGTGTGTGTGTGTGACACAACATTGATTGTCTTTTTATTGTTACACTTATTGTTACACTTATTGTTAATCTCTTAGCAGTATAGGTCTCTTAATTTTAGATAATATACACTAAAAATATTTTTAAAAATACTGCAGTCTAAACAATCGATATTTACACGAAAACACACATAGGACACATATTACATGTTGAAATGAGATATAGTGGCCCCCCACACGATGAACAAAAGAGGCCGTTCATCAGAATATACCGCCTGGTGTCATGTTTACGACAAGCATACAGCATCGAGAATAATCCAACGATTCTCACGATGCATGACGCACAAAACTTTGTCTGTCCTGGAGTAAAGTAAAAATACGTGCAACACATTCTTGTAAGAGGATTTAACGCATTGACTTCAGCCTGATTCATGACTCTGAATATTTCTTCCGAAACATCCTCAGACATTTCACTATCATAACATGAATCGTCTGACAATACTGCATCATCATCATCATCAACTTCCATTCCTTCCTCTTCATTTACTTCCATTTCTCCAGGCACTTCCATTTCTTCAGGCACTTCCATTTCTTCCTCGTTTGCTTCAACTTCCATTCTTTCTTCTCCTTCAAAGTGCAATTCTTCGAAATTCATTTTTTCCACACTTGCCCCCACTACTTTTAAATCTAATGGTTTAAATGTTTTAAATGTCTTAAGATGGCGAACGAATTGTATAAGTCGCACAAACAAGCATGCCAACCGACTCTTACTTCTAGTCCTCGACTACTGAGCGTACCTTCAAATTCATCCTTCTACATCTCACTATTGTCACATCGTTTGTTTATCATATCTAATTTCATCATAATCTCAGCATCCATACAATTGCGCCTTCCAAAAAATCTGCGATGTGCAGTTTTGCACGTGTGCAATGAAGTCACCGCGAGACACGTATGTTCTCGAAAACGATATCGCGCCATTTACTTTCGGTGATTTGATCTGTAAAACTGCTATTGAACCACGATCAAACAGCTATCAAACAGGTATTGAACCGCTATGAAACAGCTATCAAACAGCTAAAAACAGCTATTGAACCGCTATCAAACAGCTATGAAAC